GTTTTATCGTTGAAAGATTCCCGCTGCACTAATTCACCCCCCCCCCCTTCTTAGTGCTCTTGATCCTAACACTAAGGGACCATGGGAGGTTTCGGGGAGGCTGACCTTGGCGGACCGACACGTAAGGGTGCCGCACAACTTAGGCAAAATCAGCTAAGTCCGTAACAACCTGGTGGATTGACTCTGGATCAACAATCCATATTGTAAACTCTTTACAAGGTATGCAAAATCTAAGGAAGCCAGTGGGAAGTGAGCAAAACATCTTATCAGGAAATAAGATGAGCTCACATGTGGAGGCAATTGGAACATGCATTTTAACTTTAAGTAGTGGTTTTGTTTTAAAATTTGAAATGACCTTTTATGTACCAAGTTTCTCACGAAACTTAATTTCTATTTCCAAACTCGTACCATTTGGGTATTCTTTTAATTTTAAAGACACATCATTTTGTTTATTATATAAATCTGATTGTGTTGGGAAAGATATTTTGTCTGATGATCTTTACCATATTTTATTACAAAATGATGATACTCAAAGTTCAATGGATGTTCACAATGGCATTAAAATGTGTAATATTAATGAGGACTCCTCTATATTATGGCATCGGAGATTAGGATATATCTCCATAGAGAGAATTAAGATATTAGTTAATGATGGGATACTTAGTACTCTTGATTTTATTATTTTTAAGACTTGTGTGGACTGTATTAAGGAAAAGCAAATCAATAAGTCCAAAAAGGGTACTAATAGGAGTTCAGACATATTAGAGATCATTCATACTGATATATATTATCTAGACATGGACATACATGGTCAAAAATACTTTATCTCCTTTATAGATGATTATTCACCATATATGTATATATATTTGCTTCATAACAAAAATGAAGCATTGGATGCCTTTAAAGTCTTTAAGGCTAAAGTTGAAAACCAGTGTAGTAAGCAAATTAAAATTGTGAGATCAGATAGCGGTGGAGAATATTATGGTAGGTATACTGAAAATGAACAAGCACCTGATCCTTTTACTAAGTTTCTTCAAGAACATGAGATTGTTGCCCAATACACTATGCTTAGTTCTCCAGACCAGAATGATGTTGCATAAAGAAGAAATCGAACATTATTAGACATAGTGCGGAGTATGCTTAGCAACTCTAATCTTCCTAAGTTCTTGTGGACTGAAGCACTAAAGACGGCTATGTATATATTAAACCGAGTTCCAACTAAGGTTGTCCAAAAGACACCATTTGAATTATGGAAAGGTTGGAAACCGAGTTTGCGACATATGCGCATTTGGGGATGTCCGTCTAAGGTCAGGATATATAATCCACAAGAGAAGAAACTAGACCCGAGGACTATTAGTGGGTATTTCATTGCGTATGGCGAAAAGTCCAAAGCTTATAGGTTTTATTGTCCATCTCACACAACTAAGATTGTGGAATCAAGAAACGCTAAATTTCTTGAGGATGACGTGATTAGTGGGAGCGATCATTTCAGGAACATAGTTTCTACACACGATCATATAGAATCTCAACCTTCCACATCAAATGATAGATTGGTTATAGTTCATAGCACTCCTTAAGTACAAACTAGTGCTGAACAATCAATCATTGAAATTCCACAAATTACTGATAGTATTCTAATAGATTAAGCAGTTCAGGAATTATAACAAGCTCTTGAACAACTAGTTGAACCACAAGTTCCTTAGGAAAATATTGGTACAACATTAAGCAGATCTATTACAAATAAAAGATTAGCAATTCCTAGTGATTATGTTGTATATCTACAAGAATCTGACTATAATATTGGAGCCAAAAATAATCTTGAAACATTTTTACAAGCCATGAGTTGCAAAGAGTCAAATTTGTGGCATGATGCCATCAAAGAAGAGATAAATTCCATGATGAGCAATGGAGTCTGGGATCTTATAGAGTTTCATAATGAAGCAAAGGCCATTAGTTACAAATAGATCTTTAAAACTAAGAAAGATTCATTAGGCAACATTGAGAGATACAAGGCAAGACTTGATACAAGGCAAGACTTATTGCAAAGGGATTTACTCAAAAAGAGGGAATTGATTATACGAAGATATTTTCTCCTGTATATAAGAAAGATTCTCTTCGTATCATTTTGGCATTAGTTGCTCATTTTGACCTTGAGTTGCAACAAATGGATATGAAAATAGTATTTCTTAACGGAGATATAGAGTAAGAGGTATATATGAAATAACCTGAAGGTTTCTCCTCTAGTGTTGGTGAACACTTGGTTTGTAAGTTTAAAAAGTCTATATATGGATTAAAACAAGCCTCCCGCCAAGATATTTTAAATTCTATAAAGTGATTTCTTCAATCGGATTTGTTGAAAATCCCATGGATCAATACATATACTAGAAGGTCAGTGGGAGTAAAATATGTTTCCTTGTTTTATACGTAGATGATATTTTGCTTGCAACCAATGATAAGGGTTTGCTGCATGAGATGAAACAACTCCTTTCTAAAAATTTTGATACGAAAGATATGGGTGAAGCATCTTATGTCATTGGCATTAAGATCCATAGAGATAGACCTCGAGGCATTTTAGGTCTATCACAAGAAACCTATATCGATAAACTTTTAGAAAGATTTTGGATGAAGGATTGTTCACCTAAGTGTTGCTCCCATTGTGAAAGGTGATAGGTTTAATTTGAACCAATGCCCAAAGGACAACCTTAAAAGGGAATCAAAGAAAAACATTTCATATGCTTCTGTCATAGGAAGCCTTATGTATGCTCAGGTCTATACTAGACCTAATATTACATTTGTTGTGGGGATGCTAGGTCGATATCAGAGTAATCTAGGTATGAACCACTGGAGAGCTGCAAAGAAAGTGATGAGGTATCTACAAGGAACCAAAGATTACATGTTTATGTATAAACATACAAACAATCTGGATGTGATTGGTTACTCAAATTCAGACTTCGCCGGTTGTGTTGATTCTCGTAAATTAACATCAAGATATATTTTTATGATGGCTGGTAGAGCTATTTCTTGGAGAAGCACCAAGCAGACCTTGACTACTACTTCTACCATAGAAGTTGAGTTTGTCTCTTGTTTTGAGGCTACTTCACATGATGTATCGCTTAAGAGTTTCATTTATGGGCTTAGAATCATAGATTCTATTTCTAGGCCATTAAGAATTTTATGTGATAATTTAGTTGCTGTCTTAGCTGCTGTCTTTATGGCTAAAAACAATAAAAGTAAAAGTCGAAGTAAACACATTGACATTAAGTATTTAGCTATAAGAGAACACGTAAAAGAAAAGAAAGTGGTCATTGAGCATATTAGCACTGAATTGATGATTGCTAATCCTTTGACTAAAGGCATGTCACCTCTGAAATTCAAGGATCATGTAGAGAAAATGAGACTTGGTTCCACTTTGTAATTATATTAAAACTTTTATATACTGGACTAAAAATAAATATAAGGTTTATTCATTAAGTAATGTTATCACATTAAGATTAAGAAACTAAATACATCGTGATACATAGATGATAATACTCGTTAAGTATTATTAAAAACTAAGATTATTAAATATTTTGTTTAATAATAATATAACCATTCTCATTAAGTATATCATTCATTATAATTAATTTCTTTATTTATTATGATTTAAATATTTTAATTTTTTATTTTAAATATAATTATTATTATTAAATATTTAATATCATTAAGATTCTTCATTATATCCAAACGTTATAAATTTGAATTAATTCTTGACCGTTATGAGTTGGTGATAATAAATGTTCTTGATGGAAGAACATCTATATAAACGAGGATTTTGGTCTGTGAGCTCAACATCTTTTTGAAGTCAAAAGGATTTCTTACACCATCTAAAGCGAGAGTTCTGAGCTGAGAAATGCCAAAGTTTAAGGAGAAACCGTTGCTAAAATTCTTGACAACAATGACGGGAGATACTCTATTTCGTTTCCGATCAATTTTTATTGTGTTTCTATTATAATGGTTTAGAAACACATATTGGTATCAAAAGATTTCTAACACTCTCTCCTCTTATAACACATCAAGATTACTATATACATGAATCAAACATTTGTGGATTTGGTGTAGGGCTGCTGAACCTTGCGCCGAATTCCGCAGAAGCAAAGTTGTTCGAGCAATTTGGGAAGGATATCCAAGCGAATGCTGCAAGTGCCGGTGTTGGTGCTGGTAATGGCTTGGCATCTGAGTCTTTATGGAAAGGTTTAGAGCTATTAATTCATATGGACACTAATGGAAGCTTTTGTGATGTCTTCCAAGGCAACTCAACCGGAAATGCTAGCCCTAAAGAAAATAAAAATGGTGGAAGGGACAAGACCTTATGAAATGCAAGTGATGGTGAAAGCAACAAAAGCTGGTGTAGATTGAGCACTGGAGGTGGGTTTGGGGTTTGGGGTTTGGAGATTACATCTTTCTTATTCTCGATTCTCTCATGTTAATGCTGGTCAACTAAAACACTTGTATCCCTTCACATTTCACTAGCAAACTATGATTAAACTCGCCTTTTGTCGTAGAATTGTGCTCCATTCATCCTTTACTTGCTGCAATATCAGTTACAATTTCTATGGATATTCTTAGATTTACTATGTCAAAGGGATCAAATATACCTTGTTAATTTTGCCATAGATAGATATACGGGCTTTGGTATCCTTGATATGTGTAAATCCCATAAATTTATGGGGTTGAATATTCTTAACCACTTTAGTTGATTTTTAATGTATAAATAGGATTTATCATATGCATTATAAATATATAAGAATTTATATAAAAATATTCTGATTATATATATATATACATATATATACAAATTCTTGAAATCTATCTCCTTTCCGATAGATGTCATATGACTTTTGAATATGATTTGATGACAAATATATTATAAATAAATTTAAAATCATGTGTTCTGAGCATAAGCTATTTTTCGATCTATTTTGCACAATTTATTAAAAATTTGATAAACATGAAATACATGAACGTGTGACTAGAATTTTTTGTGCTAAAAGAGCATAAACTATTTGACTTTTGTTAATAAAAATCTGAGAATTATTTTATGAAAATCATGTAATTAATTAAGTCGGTCTTGATTTTTTTTTATTTTTCAATCCAAAATTTACCAACAAAAACAATCGTTCAGATCATTTGATTCAAAGGCAGGACATAAGCAATTTCTTCCAAATGCAAATCTAAAGAAGAACAGAAGAGAAAATGATTAACATTTACCATAATTGCTCATGTGATGCTGCTATACACCACTACTTATTATTATTATTATTATTATTATTATTATTATTATTTTCATCAATGCTTGTGGAAACCCGTCATGGAAATGTACCAACTCAGCTACCAATGCCGCCGCCATGGCCGGAGCCACCACCACCACCACCTCCGAACTCTCCTCCTCCGCCTCCACCAAACTCGTCGCCGCCACCAAAAAGCCGACCGCACCTTCCAAGCCTCGTCCACCGCCGTGGCCCCGGTCGACAACTTTGTAGAACCACTTCTGCTTCTCCAAGGGGTCTTTGCCAGCAATCGTCTGGCGCAAACCGAGCAGAAGAGGGCACCCACTAGCAAGAGGACGAGGAGTTTGGCCATCTTCGGAGTATCACATGTCACGGACTTAATTGAATTTATCTGAGTCGTGAAGCACACTTTCGATTATCATCCGAAAAGAAACAATCTAAATGCAATCTTATATGGTCCCCAAGGATTTGCAAAATGAGAAATTTAATGATTTCGAAAGCATAAGTCTCGATGTCTCAAACAAAACACAATGTTTCAAACGATTTCATAAACACTTGTCATGCACTTTGAAAACAAAAAAAAAAAAGATAAAAAAAAGATTGAAGAATTTGAATACCTTAAAGACAACAGTCAGCCGCTTTCTGCCACCTTCCTGACTGCCCAGGGAAGAAGATCTCATGAGTTAACTGCTGTGTCTTGCTTCATGAGATAATGATCATAATATATGATAGAGAGAAGTAAGTATATATGGATCAAGAGCTGTGATATTTTTTGACTTATTGGTCAATGTATTGAAGGATTTATTATATAGATGGTTATTCGGTTATCACTTTTGGAGCCTCAATTTGTCACAAACAAAATGTTATATATTATTGGGGTGTATAATTAATTACTTTTGAAATTCCAAAGCTATAAGGAATCTAAGAATAGAAAGACAATTTATAGTATTATTTTACGATAATCACTCTAGAGAATAATGTTCAAAAATATACCAACAAAAAAAGTCCAAGCATGTAAATCTTTCTTATAAAAGTCACTAAGATCATGGATCTAATTGGAAGTGATGGAGATATCTAATATTCTTCTTGCAATCATAGAGAAATTTTTTTTTTTTGATTTAAGATGTTCTAAGCCTTGATTCTTCTTTATGAGGTGGACTGAGATCGAGTTTAACATTTTATTCACCGAACTTTGACAAGCGACTCTTAAAAATGCTCTCTCAAAAACCAATCCAAAACATAAAGAGAAGCAAATATTATATTATGTAAAGCAATATTACAACCAAAATTATCGATTGATATGTCGATAGAGAAGAATTATGAATTTGTCATACTTTTGATCTCTCTTCAAATGTAATTTATTTCTGCATGCAACCGAGAAAATAACTCACACAATTCTCTGAGATTCTCCTCCAAAATCTCAATCAAACAAAACTTTGCAAGTCAAAAATGAGAAGTTTACTTTTAGTAGAAAAAATGTTTGCTATAATTTTTAACGATCCTATTTAGAAAAAAATATATATTATTTTAAAAAATAAATCATCTATAGAAAATAATGTTTAAGGATCATTTTCCTTTTTTGGAAGAAAGAATCTTATACTACATTAATTTAAGTACAAAAATATAACATGTTCGACAACCGAAGTCTTTACGATATTTTAAAACACATCACAGAATAATTTCTAAAACTCTCAACCTATTGTGAATGAGTAATGGATGAAATAAAACAAGAAAAAAATTTCTTCAATGGACTATAAAAATGGAATGAGAAATGCATCACAAACCACACAAAATGGTGATCAACCAAGTACACTCCAGCTTGATCAAAAGAGAACCCACCACTTTCCAGGAAGTTTCATCAGCCCATGATTGACTAAAAGAGTCCCCAATGTGATCCACACATTGGAACATGGACATCAATGTTTAGGTACATCAGCCAGTAAAAACAATTATATTACTGGTCTTCAAGCACACTTGTCCTGCTATCATTGGTTCAAGTCTTTCCTTTCCTTGGTACTTCATGTGAAGCACCTACAGCTTTGCTCACTGACAAACTACAAACCATATCAATGAAGTGAGAGGAACAAATGAAAGCAAAACGAGCAAAACGCAAGCACAAGTATGTGTTGTTGTATTCACTGGCATCAATGTGTATTAATACCCTCCCTCTATCTGCAGTTCCTCAAACAAAGCTGGTTTCATATCTTTAGAAGCCTCTCTCTCTGGTACTGCTTTGAGCTTCCTCACCCTTGCCTTGTTAATTATGTGCTAAACATCTCTTTTTTCCATGTCAGACTCTAGTTTAAAATTACATGTTTATTGTTATTTGCAAGCCTTTCAACTCATAAAATCTAGTGATTATATTTTGCCCCTGATAATTATGACTATGACTCTTCACTTTAGTCTAATATCGAAAGTTGACTAACATTTAAATCGGTTTATAATAGATTGATTGGTATATTATTATCAACTTTGATTTATGTAATTTAGATTAGTGGTTTAGATCTGATAAGTTAATATATTAATTATTCCATTGTATCGAATCCTAACAATTGGCATCAGTTGCTATTTTCACTACTGTATCAGACATGTTGGACATGTATACACATGGATATAGTGCATCATAGAAATGGAGATTTGCATTGAATCAGTTTAAATTCTCACTTTTATATAACATTGTTTCTTCTTCTTCTTCTTCTTCTTCTTCTTCTTCTTCGTTTTGATGACAATTAAAGAACTTTCTGATATTAATCCTTTTTTTTTTCCTTTACTTTGTGAAGGTGAGCAAGTGATGGAGATGAAAACTGTGACTTGCTTCATTCTCCTATTTGTTACATTAGCTCATGTGGATGCCAGGCTTGGGTTGGATCCCACATTGATGGATCAAGGTGACTGCCAGTGAAAAGAACGTGAATCATCCTCTTTATTCAGACAAAAATGCACATTACCAATTTCATATAATTAAAGATGATTATATCATGCTGAAGTTTTATCATCAAGAAGTGTTGTATACAATGATATCCACAGGAAACATGGATTCCTACATGGAGGAACAGCCACAGGAATCTGCATGTGGTTCATGCTTGGAAGCATCTCAGAGAGCTAAGAAAGCTTTGGATGACCTAGAAACGTTTGGTGAGCTACAAAAGCTGTGCCTTCCTTTGCCTTCTGACATCAAAGATAAGGTGTGTCGAGAGACCATCCACAACATACTTTTAAAAGCATTTCATTTCTTCCTTCTCCTTCACTTGTTCTTCTCTGGTTGCAGTGCTTAGAAAGGTCGAGCGCGTACATACGACAGACCAAGTTGCTTCTACGAGACCTTTTCGATCAAGAAAACTTGTGCAAAAGCACAGGTCAATGCACTGATGAATCCATGTCCCCGAGGAAGGATGCGATCACTCCACTGTTGACAGAATCGGCTAAGGTAATTAAGAAAGAGTATGATGATGGATTCATGTATATAAACCCAGAGGCTGAGACAGTGTTATGTGAGTTCGTAGAAGATAGAAGAATGCGGAGAATGCAGCGAAGCTGTCAAGCAAATATTTGCTGGATTGCAGACACCGAGAATGATAGTATGGGGTTATAATTAAGCTCCCTTTTTCATGATCCTTTTGTTCTCTTTCTTTTCTGATTTTGAATTAAACTTTTTTCCGCAGAAAAAGATGAAGCAGATTCTTGGTGAATACTGCGAAGAAGTGGAAAGCGAAAAGCATGTAAATATTCTCTCTCTCCGGTTCATCTTATAATCTTCATTTACGTCCTAGATTTTTGGACGGCTGATGCTAATCTATTCCCTCTGGTAGTGCGAGGTGATATTGCATAGGTATGTCCCAATTATCATGCTGCAACTTGAGAAGCTGAAACCCGAGGAGATGTGCGGCATGCTGGGTTTCTGTGCTGTCGGGATACCTCTCTAAAGATCACGTCTCAGACTATATATGGTGGCATCCTTTCTTCCATTTGATTTGTTAGGAATAAAGATGCAAGCACTTGCTAAATCAGATCTAATTGAATAAAGCCATACATATTGTGACTTTGGAACTTTTGTTCTCTACGGTAAATTATATTCTCTGGTAATTTTTGTTCATGCACATTTCATGTATTCACTTGAGAAGGACATGAGAAAGAAAGGGTTCAATCCCCCCGAGTAATAATAGATGGCAAGAATGACGACACAGTTTTGACTTCCGAATCATGGAAATACAATGAAACAAAGATAACAACATTCTATGGTGGTTGGAGAGAAGTGGATGACAAAGATTTATTACTCATTCAATTATTTAACCTCCTGCTTACTTGAGAGACCATATTACATAATGAGATAATCTCAATCACATGCCACTAATTTTTAAATATCGAGCGTATCGGTATGTACATGTAACTTCGGTTGGATTTGATTTTAGATGACGTAATATAAACACGAAATCTTTCAGTAATCGGTACCGAATCCCCGATATTGACACCTCTAATTATGATCGTCCAACGAAGAAACATGCATCAGCATCACTTGTACATATACTCCTTAAATGCATGAAATCCCTTTGTAATGGTGGTGTGCGTCTGAGTTGATTTACAACAAGATCTCCTATCACACAGCTTTACATCTCACATCATTAAGGTTATATCTAGATGAGACCGTGAGCATTACAAGACTCCACACATGCGAGAGCTTAGCTGAACTCGAATGGAGAGGAAGAAACGCAAGGAGAAATGTGTGAGGCCCGACCATGGCTTATTGCTCAGCGTATCTAACAACAGCTCGGTTGCGACACCTGCGACCCATCCTCTCGTGTTCTGCTGCAACTACTGCAGCAAGAAGTTTAGCAGCTATCAAGGGCTCGGTGGGCATCAGAACGCGCACAAGCTCGAGCGGGAAGAAGCCAAGGAAAGGAGTCAAAGAAAGGCCTTAGGGTTTATCCTCGTGCCAGTGGGGTTGCACGATGGACCAGGAAATAAAGCATCAGCCGTCGTCGATGAGGAAGACGATGCTGCCCGACCAAGAACGCAAGATCTTCTCTCCAAGATCGGTGAATCCTCGACCAAGGACAGTGATCCTGGTGTCGATGAGAGCGAGTTGCTTGAGGTTGATTTGACCCTTAGGCTTTGAAGGATAGCGACCGCGTTCGTAAGCAATGAGCAAGTAGTCCATATAGTTTTACTAGTTGTGGTGTTGTTTCTCCATTCGGTCGGATGTCTATTTTGTTTTGTTAGTCCATTTTGAGGACATTTAATTTCGATGAGAAAGACATGGAAATAAGAAGCATGTATATGTCATCAACATGATCGGACATTTAATTTTGATACATACCGTGTCGGACATGTATATGTCATCAACATGATCGGACCACATGTTTAACTGTCTGTCTTTTTTATTTATTTATTTTTATTTTTCTATTTATGAGGAGATATGCCTAAGTATGTTTTTTTTTTCTTCATTTATTTTTATTTTTATTTTTATTTTTATTTTTATTTGTTGGACATGGACAATGACAACACTCTCACTTCAATCCGGTGGCCCCCCACATACTATACTCACATCACGTGAGCATTGTCACGTGACTTAGACATATCCAAAATGATTATCACAGTTCTATAATCATTTCAAATGATTATCACAGGAAAATCATTTGTTGGATTATCACAGGAATTATCTATGAATGAAGATTGTTAAATATTATTTGATATATTTCATCTTTATTTTGCATATTAAATATTTACATTTAGATGTGGTTTGATTGTTTAAACCTGTTGAATATTTATTAGTTCTAGTTTATGAAGTCACAAAACGCATATCAATTATATATTATGTCCTCAACGTGTCCCCTATCATGTCAATAATATAATGTAACGAGACTTGTAACTAATTAATTATATTATCTACTAGAGTTTTAAGGCATATTCTGCATGTTATATAGAGTTTTGATCTGCTAAATATTAGTGTTGTTGTCAATAGTCTTCATGGTGAATAGCATCAATTTGACACCTCCATGGTTACTAAAATTGAAATTTGATCTTCAGTTCATTTGGATCTAATTTGCTCAGCAATAATCTTCAGAATCAAACTTGTTCTGATTGTTTTTGCAAAAATAAATTATATTAAGTAAAACGAGTAGAACACTCCCAATTACATCGGAGTCAAAATCGGGTGGTCGAACAAGAAAAATGAAAAAAAAAAAAAAAACTAAATCCTTAAGTTGTTTTTCTTAAATCTTTTTACATCTTCTAATTTGTTTTCTTCTATTAAGTAATCTCCGATGTGCTTCTCTTTCCCCAATTCGACTAGTTGACCCAAGGATCCGACCCAATGACCCTCCAGCGCTATTACCAAATGTGAAAAATCTAAATCCACATGTATTTGAATAATAGCACAAAATTTATTTACTAGGATTGAAAAATTCATAGAGAAAGATTATAATAAAGGGAAAAATATAAGAGAAAACAAATTAGTTTGTAATCCTCTATTATTTACATCAGAGGAAAAGATACTGATAGAGGATTGAATAATCCGCTGCTCTTTTTTTTTTAAATAAAGGTAAAATACATTACTCAATCAAATGATCACAAACATAACAAAAAGGACAGCTCAATAAAATAATTTCTTCAGATCCTATCATATCATCTAGTTGTAGCAAAATTAGCAAGCCAGTTTGCCACAGTCTCCTTTCCTATAACCTTATAGTTAGTTAAACTACTTAAGGTTCAACGAAATATTCTAAATTCCTCTGTATCAATTTACTAAGTGATATGCCAACCCACGGCTGACTAAACTAAAGCATAGTCCAGTATAAATTTACAAAGTGATATGTCAATCTGTGTCATCTAACATCATCAGGAAACTAATAAAAAAAATTAAAGTGTGAATCAACCTATATGGTTCAGTATTAGTCCAATACCAATTGGTACACACGGGACTATCTGGTAACGGAAACCTAGCAAGCAACCATTACGATGTGATTCCTGTCTATTCTACAAGTGGACAATCCTCCCCTTCAATAGCAGAAAATTTGGTGAGCACAATCAACAACAATTTAATTTTACGACAACAAGACTTAGTCAACAAATTAAATGGGATAAGACTTAATAATTGTGGTCAATTTAGTAACGAGAATCACATTACCGTCTTCTTCAAGCTTCTGGATCAGTGAAGTATACGGGACTGTCAGTCTCACCCATGTTTGCTGAAGCAAAAGAATCTACGGACTCGATGATAGATGGACTCGAAAGGCTTTCATCAGAATCAGAGATCTCACTATTAACAACCATGTGCTCGTCAGGTTCAGACATTTCAGATTCTGACGTTCCCAGCATAAGCTTGCTTATTGCCGTCTTAGCAGCATCGACAAACCACTCATCCTCAGGAAGTGCACTGAAATAATATTTTGGCTATAATCAGGGAATGAATTAAAAAAATCAAGCGTAAATAAAACGCATACCAGAATATAAAAATCATACCTTTGTGGATCTATGCCTTTAGCAGAGAAAGCTCCGATTGCTCGTGTTATAACAGCTGAGACAAGCTGATGGACGTTTCTGGATGAGTATCCCCCACAAACCGCAATTTCAACTATGAAGTGCATATCAAGTATTAACTGAAAGAGTGTGAAATGATATTTAGAATTAACAGTTCATAGAATCCATAAAACACAATTGCTCGTGAGAAAAGACATGCCTGCTGCAATCCAAGTGGCTGAAGTTGAGCAGAATCATCTTTAAATACATCCCAGAATTCTTGCTCTTCCGAAAGCCACATAACTACGGTCTCTGTTAGCCGTGAAAGTAAAATCTTTTGTATCTTTTCCTTCCCCAGGAGGACATCCCCTGCCACACTAGCTAATTGTTGCAACCTTGCAAACAATGCCTGAAGCAATAATGTATAAATGTAATGGGTGATATTTATGTGATCAGAAGCAATTAGTTGCAAACAAAGTGATTTATAGAGCAATATGTGATGGAAACAAAAGTTGCAAAAGACATGGAAAATTTGGCCAAGAAAGAAGATATCTTCTTTTGGCCTCTTTATAAAGACATGACCGGCTAAAATCAGTCTCATGCAATAATTATTCAACTGCCACTGAGTGAGGAATTGTATTTCCTACACAGTGTACCAGTCACTCAATTAGGCTAAGAAAAGTATGATAGAAATTACAGATAAAAAACAAAAGTACAGTTGGATCAAAGTCCAAAAATACATCATACGTTCTTCCAAGCGGAATGCCTTAAGGACCAACCCATGAGATAGCAAAGCTTAAAAGATACAAGGATGGTTGGTTTTTTGACGTGGGTGCCAAAGGCATGTTTACAGCCTATCCACTAGTTGGGATAAGGTTGCATACAGAGACCTTATCAGGCATTCATAAGCAAGAAACTTGAGCCTTTTTAGCTACTGAAAAAGATACCACCAATTTTAACACAAAATTGAAGATTCAAAGAAATGGTATCACCTGAAATGGCAACGATGGTAGTGGGTCCGAGTCCCAGAAAAGGTCATCTCCTTTTCCTTCCAAATACATCCGAGCATCTAATCTTGCTTTTCCTTCCCGCGAGTAAATGAAGGTCAAGACATACTGTCTACAGAAATGGTCCCTAAGCTTTTCCAATGAATGTTGCAATTGTCGCCTCCAATCTTTGTATTCCACAGAACTTACAGCAACAATAGATATGCTTTCAGAAGATCCACCACCCACTTCTTTGTTTTCAATTTGCGGGGTAATTATTTTTGATACAGCCATCGGTAGAAGTTCAAGAGCAACTGTATATGCAGTACCTAAAAGACCAAGCTGTTCAGCATCAGTTTCAGCCCTATAATCTTCAGATTCTCTCTGTTCAATGAGGTTATCATCTTCAGAAGGACCAGGTAGAGCCTTGATTAACAATTCTACGTACTTATCAAAAAGTTGGAGGAGCTTGCTTAAAATAGTCCTTCCAAAATGCAATACCACCATTGGTGTCAGTTTATCCAATATATCCTGTAAAAGGTGATTAAAAGAAGAAAAATCATGTCAACTGCTTCATTGGTATACCAAATATTGCATACAACTATCTA